AAAACAACCAACCAAACAAAAAACAAACCACAGACAAAAAAACTAACCCAAAAAACAACCAAACAACAAAACCCCCCAACAAACAGAACAAAGAAAACATTCTACGCCAGTCTGGAACAACCAGGCCTAACTGTTAAATCAGATGCACTGACAGCATTGAAGGCTTTCTTCATGAGCGGTAGGTAAGCATTACCACATCCGAGTTACCTACTGGACATAACACAAGAGATCAGATCTAGGAACAGTGTCTGCAAATGGAAGAGGTTTTCAGGTTTTGTTTGTTTTTTGTAAAGAACCATGGGCATTAGTTCATTCCTTACAGGACCCTCTTTATAGTTTGTTCTTCAGACTGAGACTGGAACGTTATTGTAAAAGGGGATTTTTCATTTTCAGAAGAGGTTTCCAAGAAAATATTCCAGTTTTCTTCAATGCACACCAACTGTCACTGAACTTATCAAACAGGCAGATTACAGCGAACACCTGAATAGTGACCCTAATTCAGACCAGCACCTTTAAATAGCTGTGATGATCGTTGTCTCATTACAATGTTTCTTCACAAATATAGTATTAAAAAAAAATGTTACAAAAAGTGTTACAAGTATTTATCAGCTCTATTTGAAGAGCAGATGTTTTCCAATGCTGGGCACTTATCTGTAATCAGACATACATGATAAAATAAGTGGAAGTGAGCCAAGGATTTCACTGTCTACTTAAATCAGACAGTTACGAATACACTGGGGAATTCTAGTTAACCACCCTACATTATTAAGAATTTCAGAGCTATGCTCAATGCAAAATTTACTGAAGAGATGAATGGATGTACAGCTTTAACTTCTACTTGAAAGCCAATTGAATAACTCCACTGAATATATGAATTAGAATGACCCCATGCCATGACTAATTAAAATGTTACTGCTTAAACTGCAAATATACTACCATCATGAGAGCTGCCGGCGGTTATTCACCATTAAAAAAGATAACAAAAGGTTTCTGCTGTGCTACTCTTTTTTTTCAATGTGTGTGTAGTTCAAGTTAGACTAAAACCTGTTCACACACACCTAATAATTACGATTATTCATCAGAATATTCTCTACTATTAAAATAAACAGACCTATACCACATACAAAACTTATTTTTATTTTCCTTATGAAAATCTGTGGATTTTTCCAATAAGCAGGTTCACCTTTTCAGACAGATCTGATGATATTGTGTCCTCAAAAGGAATGCATCCAAAGAATGCAATTAAAATCAGTTCAAAAGCAACAGGATTGGGGTATTTCATAAGGCAGTAAAAACAAAGTTTCCTGCTGTAGACAGTCCCAATTAATTCTTCCCTTTTTTCCTTTTCATTGCCTTCCATTCACCTTCCTGTGTAGCGAGGCTACCAAGAAGCTCTTTCACTTTTCTTTTTCTGGCTGAATCTCTGTAAAACAAACAACACAGAAAATAATTCAGAAAGATTATATTATGGAAAATAAATAAGTGTATTTAGATAATAATTTATAAAAATATTAATTTATAAATTTAGATAATAATTTATAAAAATAATAATTTATAAAAAGCCCCCCAACTCTTAAATTTCACTAACACACTTTAAATAAAAACATTCTGCATATTCTTAAACTAGAGAAATGAAACTGCAAAGTTGAAAACACTTTATCTCTATTGAAAATGTCTGGCTTTCCACAAATTGTCCAATTTTATTTATTTATGTTTAGTATAGTTGATCATTATTGTCAGCCTTGGCATGCAGCAAAGAAATGAACATACAGTAGAACAAGCCCCAAACTGGTGCTGAAACAAAGGCTACGTTACCTCTCCATGGTTTCTGACAGCTGTGTTCTAGCCAGAAACTGGTTATCTTTCCGAATTTCACGAATGGCTCCTTTAAGTTCACGTTTATGCTTCCGAATCAGCTGCTTTCTTTCTTGCTCCTCCTTGCTGCCTCCCTGCTTTCTTCCAAACTCTAGACTGAAATGAGAATTTATGTGTGAGCACAGAACACCCTAACAAAACCAACTTTTTCATGTTTATAAGGAGTGAGTTTTTGTGTGAATACTAACTCAGCATTTTAATTCCTCCGTATTATTAACTTGCAAAATAAGGAGCTGCCCAATGAACACACCAGAAAAACACTCACCAGACCTTCTAACTGCATGTCATCATCATACAAACGACAAGCAGACAACATTTACACTTCAGTCCCCCATATACAGCCTGCATTTTGAACAGACTGCAAAAGCCAGAGCAGAAGAAAGACGTCTGAAGAAAGATGGAATCTCCCAATATATTTAAAGCTTTTGCAGACCTTCTCTGCAGATGAATTCTACAGAAAAAGTGTGATCAGCTACTCGGGGATAAATGAGTACAGCAGAGGAAAGCTGTCCTCTTCAATTACTAGAATAAATGAGGCCATTTGTGCCCCTGTAGATAACCAACATGGCTAAATAAGCCAGCAGCCAATATAAAGCAGACTTCCTGAATCAGGATACTGTTCTATTAGCTACAAAACCAAACTAGTGTTATCAAGATTTAATTCCAAAACAGAATACAAAAATGCACATGGTCATTGCAAGCTCTGTAAAAAGGGGGAAAGAAACTCCCCGTTTTTTGTCATTGCTACTGCTGGAAGGTAGAAAGCTGCTTGGTTGGGGGAAAGAGAAGAATGGGGCAAGTAAATATGCTTAAAGGAATGTTTAATCTGACATTATTTGTTATGATCTGTGATGCAGAGTACAGTAATAGTCTGCCTTATCTTTTGCACTGGTAAAGCATCCCTCAGTACTTCCAGTGGCCATCATTACCTTCGTATAGTTCATATACATATGAACTACTCACTGTTGATGACAGAGCATTCAGTAAAGCACCTGACCAGATAATAACAACCACCTCTTTTCATCTTGAAATGGATTATATGGGCAAGAGTTGATTTCCAATGCTACTTTTTCCACAAGATATTTTTTTCTCTATTTCTCAGAATTCCTCCTTCCTTTTTCTTTCCCTCCCTGCCACCCCAGTAGCTGGTCCCTTGTGATTTGTGCTCAAGATCTATCAGAAAAAGTTCTCTCTTTTATGTCCTGTTTTCCAAATCCTTCTAGATTGCTGAAAATCTTAACATTTTCCTTTGCATCAGGTGTTGCTTTACTTACACTTTCACCATTTTAGGTGTATACTGTTTCAATGGCACTGGCTTCTTTTTCTCACATATCAGTGGAGGATAGTGTTTTACTTTGTTCTCTAGCTCTTTCAGAGCACTGCGATACCCTTCCTGAAAATGCAAATCAAATTACAATTTTAAAATATAATTCACAAAGTCTTGTAAACTGAACCAACAGTAATGTTCTCCCCATTTGTTCTTTTTCTGGGTAAAATCACTGCTATTCATTAGGACACTGCTAACACTGAAATGCTGTAAGCCTTCCAGGCTGGATAATTTTTATACACTTCTGGAAGTCTATTAAGATTGTGTCACGGACAGTAAGTAAGGTCTGCAGGTATTTTCACCTAACAGAGGAAAAAGCAAGACTAAAGCCAGTTTTACTCGGACTCTGCCTTTCAGGCTCATTTTAAGGATGATGGTAGGGGGATTGGAACTAGATGATCTTTAAGGTCCCTTCCAATCCAAACCATTCTATGATTCTATGATTATTCATTTTACTTATTTCGATGGCAAAAAAATATAGGTCATTTTGCATAATTTACGTTACAAAATCTTGTTCTTTAAGGGTATTTCATGATGCCTCTTTGAGGCGAGGACAATTCTGCTACATTTAGAAAAGACAGAATAAAAATGTGAACGTCACTGCTAGAAAATATACAACTGCCTTGTTTTAAGTAAGGTAGCTGACCAGGCATATTTATTTTAGTTTTACTTAAACAGTTACAGATACTACCTCATCAATTTGGTACACGTGTTCGTTTGTACTAAGGTCTTACAAATTCATTATGAAAGCACAAGAACAACTGGATGACCAGACTACTATTCTTATCAATCAAGTCACTCATGGAATGTTACATTATCACAAGCTAGGTGCTATTCTCTTCAATTAGAGAGGCAAGACAAGATACACAATGAAAAAAAAAAAAATCTTTTCTAAACATTCTCTGCTCTTCTTTGGTTTTTCCACAGAAACATCACTATGATATCTGAAGAGTACAAAAGGCAAATGCCTGACACTTGAAAAAAATCTCACTGATGCTTATACTTGCTTTTTGTTTGTTTAAGCACAGATGAAGATCACAGAATTTATTAATAAAACAAACGTATAAATTATTTCATTCTTGAGGAACACATACCTGCATTTTTTCAGGATATTCATTCACTGGCACATGTTGTGTAAGGATAATTCTGACAGAATGCATTATTTCATGGAACGATGGTAAAGTCTCATACAGAGCTGCACATTTTTTAATAAGGTCAAAACACAGGGCTAAACATGATAACCTGTTCATGCACAAAAGAATTAACAATTTCACTTGCAAAATCAAATAAAATGAATCAAATTAATTAAATTTGGGAGTGTTAACAGCATTTATTATTAGGACTGCTTGACAGAACCAGTTACAAGGCTGTTTATAGTTCTTAATTCAGATTAAAAATTTCACTTTCCTAAGGCAAATACCCAAGAAATTCATCAGCAGTAAATCTTTATCTCAGTGCACAGAGCACAAGCCAGTATTGTGTCTTTGACACTTATGTGGAGTCAGAAGTTTTTATACTGGTTCTAAAACTGTTCTGGTGCTGGTTCTGAAGTTCTAAAACTTCACTGAAACAGAATTAGTAACTTTGGTTTTGGGTTTTCTTTTTGAACTTCATAACAAAATACTTATTCATCCCTGAAATATGAATGTTATGTTTAATATTCATAATATGAATATTAATATTATAATATGAATATTATGTTTAATAACACATGCATGAGGTGAAAAATAAGGCTGAACATGGTTAATAAACATGTTTAATTGTGATCTATCCTAATTCCTGTGTTTTATTACTTTCTAGCACAGTGTTTGTACATAAATACAGTTATTTGCTTCTGAAGAGCTTGACAGTTCAAAGTACTGAGCACCTCCTCTGTCTCTACATCATCCTCATCAGTTCACAGCTGTATCAAAAAGGAATGGAAGGGCTGAGCACTCTCACAAATACTCTGCATAACATTCTGGCAAAAGATAATATGCTACAGGGTAGTACCATAAAAATAAAGCAGAACAACTCACTACTCCTACTTTTACTCCTAAAGAGCACTGCCACTGAGATTACCCAAAAGATGATCTGGTATTTCTTCTGTTCACATTTCCTACGTACCTGATATGATTCATTTCTGTTGTGCTGGTTTCCTTTAATCTAGTCACAATACTCAATGGCAGATTTTGCTTCTGCCAACTTTCCAGATCCTTCTTATCACACACCAAAAGCAGTTCTGAATTTTTCCCCGCTGGTGTAAATGGATGCACTACAGTACAGCCTAAAAACCAAGACAACTAATCATTAACCAAGATCAAATCTAAGCATTCTTTCTGAAGGAAAAAAAAAACAACAAACCACAACTCTTTTTATGTTTTTAATCATACAGCCTTAAAAAAAATACTTTATCACACTGATGTTTTTCTAAAATAATGGAAAAAATACTGGAGTATGGGTACAATCACGTTAGTGCTCTAGCCATGTCACTCAAGTCACAGAGTCCAAATGCAGGGACTGGGAGAATGAAGTACTGCCCACCACAGGAGACAATCAGGTTCAATATCTAAGGAACTTGACTGTGCACAAGCCCATGGGACCTGATGAGACGCATCCGAGAGTCCTGAGGGAACTGGTGGATGAAGATGCTAAGCTGCTCTCCATCACATCTGAAAAGTCACAGCAGACCAGTGAAGTTCCCAGGGACCAGAAAAGAGGAAACATAACCCCCATTTTTTAAATGGGAAAAAAGGGACACCAGGCCAGTCAGTCTCACCTCTGTGCCTGGCAAGATCATGGAGCAGATCCTCCTGGAAACTATGCTGAGGAACATGGAAAACAAAGAGGTGATTGGTGACAACCAAGATGGCTTCGCCTAAGGGCAAATTTTGCCTGACAAATTTGGTGGCCTTCTATGATGGGGTTACAGCATGACCAGAGGGCTAGAGCACCTCTCATAAGAGGACAGGCGGAGCAAGACAGTTTGGATTGTTCAGCCTGGAGAAGAGAAGGCTCCAGCAGCCTTGCAGGACTTAAAGAGGGCTTACAGGAAAGATAGGGAGGGACCTCAGTCAGCAATTGCAGCGAAAGGACAAGGGGTAATGGTTTTAAACTGGAAGAGGGTAGATTTAGAAATATTAGGAAGAAATTCTTTCCTGTGAGGGTGGTCAGACACTGGAACAGGTTGCCCAGAGAAGCTGTGGATGCCCCCTCCCTGGAAGTGTTCAAGGCCAGGTTGGATGAGGCTTTGAGCAACCTGGTCTAGTGGAAGGTGTCCCTGCTGATGGCAGGGGGGTTGGAACTGGATGATCTTTAAGGTCCTTTCCAACCCAAACCATTCTGTGATTCTATGATTCATTCTATGATTCTGTGTACGGGGAGAGAGAAGAAGCTAGGTACAGAGTTACAAGTAGAAGGCTTTCACCAGAAAGTGGTCAAGCAGCACACTGGAGCAGGGAGAGCCCATAGTTGCAGAACATCACTGAGCCTCTCCCGTGACCTCTCAGCCAGGGCCCCCAGATACATGCTGTGCTGTAAGGTCCTCTTCCGCTCCAGCTAAGTAGATTTAAAGCAAGAGCAGCATGGAACGCAGAATATATACTGGGGCAGGGCATATAGAAAACGCTTAAGAATCGCTGTGCTCCTGATCATATGCTGATCTGTGAAACAGGACTAATAGAGCAACGTGAAAGAAGCATCTGAGGAATTTCATGGCTAAAGGAAAAAATAATTTAGACCTTCTGTTACTGGACCTTTTTATTTTCTTATTTGTTTTCCTTACATCCTGCAAGCTTGGAATGGAACTTGTTTAAAAACTTTTTTCAAACTGTAAGTTAAGATTTACCTGCTCTAGAACCTGTACAAGGCTCTTTACAGACAGGCCAGAAGATAGTATGTTTAAATAAAGATTCATAAGGTTAGAGACCCAAAGTTGTAAGAGATTATGACACACACAGACATATGCAGGATCAGGAACTAAGGTACGTGAGTCTTATTATCGGCTTTACTTGTGAGAGGATAATGGATCTCATTACAATTCCATTAGCTAAAGCTATCAACAATGACAACTCCTTCCCACTCCCTCCACCTCCAGCTTTTCCTCTTTTTGAAGGTAATAACTGGTGGGGTTTTTGTCTAAAGCAGATTGTATTTCAGTGTTTTATGAAGCTGTATTCCATATAATTTTTTAATGCGAGAAAGTTATGGATCAAGCTCATAAAATTAAAACAGTAAGAGCTCTATTTGCTGATTGTACTTACTGTCAAAATTGAACCCCCCAAAATGTTTTGGTGTGATGATATATCAACATTCCAGAGAACTGGATGTATGCTCATTTTAAAATCTTCTATGTTGACAGCCTAACTGTCACATTTATCATCAGTATTTCCATCGTTAGTATTTAAAAACATATTGGATACTTTGATAACTTCAAAACATCAATACTGACTGAAAAATTCTCAAAGAGAACACTGTGCCTCTAACATATCTTTTATTGAGCTTTTCCTCACTGCTAAAATAAACCAACACCATGCAAATTTAACAAGTGCAAATTCATTAACAGAAATATAAGGGAAATTTTAAAAGAAAAAAAGTTAACACTCGATCATCAATTACCATGAAATATTTTAAAATAGTTTCTTATCTGATTTTGCAGAATCCTGTATTTTAAATGTACCAAAAATCTTTGTAGATCAAATATTCCTAAGAGAGTACACAAAGGAGAAAATACTTTAAGGACTATGTAACCCACCCACTCCTTAACCTCTTCCCACCTCTTCTAAGAGTTCAGCTGGTGTTCTGAGAAGTCAGGGCTTAGCTCTGATGCAGCCCAGCTGTGTAACCTTGGCTCACACTTCAGAGGAAACTGCTAAGCTGTAAGAAGCAGCTGGGAGAAAGTCTGTAGGGTACAGCCACACAAGATAATAAAAGGTGGAACTGCAGTGCTAGGCTTGTTGAGAAAAGGGATCACTAGTAGCTCAAGAATTCAAAAGAAAAAAAATGCCAGCATAGAAAGGCATAAAAATCCTAAAGGGGAAAAAAAGAAGGGAGCTGCAAGACAACCACTCAGTACTGCTGAAGATGTACTGGAATACTGCAGCAACAGAAGATGAACCTTCCTCACCAGACTGGTGACTACCTAGAGAACAGAGACCCTTCAGATGTCTTATCAAGAGTGACATAGCCTGTAGTTCATTAAATCCTAGATGTCTTGTGAGTTTGCCAACAAATAATTTAATTTTTCACTTCAGAATATCCTGCCTGCAGGATCTCTTCACACATGCTAAGTGACACTCAGAGTAACCCAGACAGAGACACTGACACATGAATTAGTTACTATGCTCTGACAAAACTCCTCTAAGGTGAATTATTGTCACTAAACTTGTCAACAAAAAAGCCCCAGATCTAGAATAACTTTAAAGCTAGAAATGAAACCAAAATAAAAAGTTTAAGAAAGAAGAAGACTGGCAAATAAAAATAATTTGCTACCATATGGATCAAATTGAAAAGATATTCTCCCTGTTGTTTGTGCAAGTTGCTAAATTTACACAGTTATGCTACAGACTAATCTTGCTTGTGAGGATAGCTGCCCTCTGTTATATTACAACAAATAAATAAAATGAAAAATACCAACTTTGTGATTTACTTCTCTTATTTATGTCAGTGATACGGCTATTGGCTGAAGAGGGAGGGTATCTGCAGCGTTACCTGCTGCCTCACTGTGAGTATACAGGGTACTCTTTGGGAATCCATTAGGGACTGTGAATTTCAGACCACAATCCAAACACACAGTCTGAACAACAATATTGCAAAAATACTGCGCTGTGGACAACATGACTTCATTTCCGTTAATAACTTCAGTTCTTTCCTTCCTGCCAACAATACCAGAGGATCTAGTTCATAACGAGATGCCCAACAATCAAGGTTGTGTACAGCTAACAGGGCAGATGGTTTTGGTCTTTTGTTCAGAACAAAAAGTTGTGTGAAATAATTTCTATTGAAATTTAAAAGATAACAAAATTTATTACTCATTTACTCTAAACAAACTCACCCTGGGCCTGCTTTTTGGGTAGAGAGATGTGAAGTACTCCAAGAAGAAAATTGATGAGTTCTGGTACAAATCTTCTGGAAAGAGATACATATTCCAGGAACAAACAGCATATAAATAACCCTTTAATAACATCTTGCAATGTTGTGATGCGACACTAAAAGGAAAAAAAAAAAGGCACAAAATATTAATAATTAAAAGTCTGTACATCACAATATAGGACCTCCCAAAAAGCAGAAATATTAAGTTGTACACATTAAAAAAAATCTGTAAAATTATCCCCTTTGGACTTACATGAAAAACATACTGCCTTTGCCTTGCCCGCACTAAAGAGCGTATGCAGAATTGAGTAAGAAGTCTGTCAGAACTGGTTTAGCCACTAGAAGGTGCTAAACCACAAACAATAAGTCCTTCAGAAATGAAATGTAAGGCTTAGAGCAACTTGGATATCTGACAGCAACAGAACAACTAGCTCAAGACTTTTGAAACACATAAACAGGATATTTGGATAGACAAATAAGGACATATTTTAATTGCACTGCAATGCATTGCATTAGGTACATTGTCAAGGAAAACTGCCAATTTTCAAGTAAATATCTTTCTTAAGTAGAACAAATGCAGTATATGGAAGAGAAATCACTAACGAACGATTTCAGACTGTATTCAGTCTGTTCTATTAGTCCTGTGTAATTTCCCATGTAAGGAATTCTTGTGTGACAGTCTGAAAAAATGATTAGATATGGTTTTGTGAGTTGGGACTGTGCTCTGCAAGGGTTTTTTCCTCTTCACTTTTCCTTCCAGTGACTATCTGTGCCTGTAACAAACAGAAAGCTGCCTTTTCAGTACATTTCCAATATACATTAATGCTAACACATGTGTCTGGAGTCCTAGACAGAAACAAGGAAATTAGTTACATACTGAGATACAACATTATAGGCATACCTTAGTGAGTAGCTGACTCATGTACATAAAAGCAGGTGTTACAACTGGATGCCAGAAGTCAGAGGTTGGAAACAGCAGAGATGTAATTTTCAAATAAATAAGCTGAGAGCACATAGAACAGAGTAAGGCACAACATAGTAAGGTATTATTCCCAGGATCTTGACTTTACACATATGTAACTGATAAATGAGTAACTGCCATGTAGGAGTCTAAAAATATGACAATATACATCATTTTGAGAAATCTGATATGATACATGATCTATTTATTAACTGTTTAACTTACATGAGAAGATGGAATATTCATTATAGCTCTAACATTGCATTAATTCAACGAGGCAACTGAAAGAACAATCAAGAAGGAATTACGTGTCCCAGTCCCATTTACTCCATAAAAAAATCTGACCCTCTTTGGCCCACCACAATCACATACTCTCACACCACAAACAAACGAGCAAGTGACCACACAGAATCACAGAATGTTGGGGATTGGAGGGACCTCAAAAGATCATCCAGTCCAATCCCCCTGCCAGAGCAGGAACCTTAACGAAATTACACAGGAAGGCATCCAGGCAGGTCTTGAATGTCTCCAGAGAAGGAGACTCCACCACCTCCCTGGGCAGCCTGTTCCAGTGCTCTGTTACCCTCACCGTAAAGAAGTTTCTTCTCAAGTTTAAGCGGAACCTCCTGTGTTCCACCTCACACCCATTGCTCCTTGTCCTATCGTTGGGCATCACTGAGAAGAGCCTGGCTCCATCCTCATGACATTCGCCCTTAACATATTTGTAAACATGAATTAGGTCTCCCCTCAACCTCCTCTTCTCCAAGCTAAAGAGCCCCAGCTCCCTCAGCCTTTCCTCATAAGGGAGATGCTCCACTCCCTTAATCATCTTGGTGGCTCTGTGCTGGACTCTCCATGACACCTTTTGACAGGTCCTCAACACAGACAGTCAAGTCACTAGGATCCTCAGGCACTAAGCACACATCAACAAATAACAGTTGCAGCCAAAAGAACTTAAGAGCAATCAGGTACCCTTTTACTGAAGGGGCCTTGTTAGAGTGCTACAAGTGACCTCCCATCAAGGCCATCAGGCTGTTAACCATCAGTTGTGAGATAATTCTGAAAATTATGTAAGTGGATATTTACATAGTAAGCTAGATACAAGTGAAGTTTTGTTGTTCCAGCTCTGTTTCTCTCTATGAAGCTTCTGTCATAAACAAATATTGCCCCGACTCTTTTGGTTACTAAATACCACAGTTCAAACTGCAGGTTAGATTAACTATAGGCACATATAAGGTCTACGAACATAACTGGTCTAAGGAATGTTCACTCAAACAAGTGCTTTGAGAACAGGAGAGTGCTCTAACTCCACCCTAAAAGATAATGATGGCTTGAAACCTGAAAAAGTGACTGAAGGGAATGGAAGTCAGAAGTGTGATTGGTGTCATATGGGTGACAGTGACAAAATAAAAACAGAAGTTAAAAGCTCTCTACAATACATTTCCTGCAAAATCCAAAACATCCTGAATAAAGACTCTTCAAAAGAACTCAATATAAATATTTTCCAAGCTGTAAGAACCAAGTCTTCTAAGCAAATCCTTTAGTCTATTTTCCTTCAACAGTCTAATCATTCTATTAGGCAGCACTGCTTCATCAAGCTGGGAGACAGAAAACAAGCAGCTCCCGTTGGGTTACTGACTTATGGTTTGTCTTTGAAACTTTTTACTGCAGTAAACAAATACCCATTCTCCATATGCTCCATTCTTGAATTCCCTAACAGTCATTTACCTAGACACTGAAAAGGAGTCTGTTCACTGAAATTTTGAAGTATTACTAATATAAGAAAGAAAAGTCAATTATTTGAATAATTAATTTAGCAATTACTATATATAAAGTACTAAGAAATGTTGTATTTTTATACCCATAATAATATTTCACTGTTACTTTTGATAACCTAGGAGATACTGCACTTCTATGGAGCACTCTTTAAAACATTTCCACTTAACACAATTAAAGAAATCGGGACATAACTGACAATATCACTTTTTCCTAGAACTACCCAGGTAAGGTTCATTAGGAAAACAAAGAACATTCTGCTATGAAAACTGGAGTGGCAATTTTAACTTCTTTTCCCCTTATTAATATTACAGAGTCACATTTCTATTCTGCAGAACATGTGTGGAGGGGGTATTTGTTTGTTTGGGGTTGTTGGTTTGTTTCTCAGGATTTATTTCTTTTTGTTGTGGGTTTCTTTTTTGTTACAACTTATCTCCAGAGAGGCAACTTAAAATATTGAGAAACCTAAAAAGTCACAGAGGCGAATAATTCATTACATGCTTTGAAATATAAAACTGAACCTAATGTCATCTCGTATTTACTGGCATTTCTGTACTAATGAGAAGAACAAGAGATTTTCCTAGCAGCATGCACTCGTTACCGTGTCTAACCCTGGAAATGTCGCACGGCCTTTGACTTCAATTACTTCTTCCATATCATGTGCAGCGTCTCGAAGGATAAACTTAATACTGTCACTGGCTGCCTCAGGAAACATCTGGCAAAGATTGTACAATGGCCTATTAACAAGAAATATAAGTCATGATCAAGCTACACCATTGATGTTAATAAAAAACTGATTTTAAAGCACCTGTAGGAAGAATTATTGCGTACCATCTACATTATAACAACAACAAATTCCCTGAAACAAATTAGGTTTTTTTAAAAATAGCCATCCAGTAGATTATTTTTGTAATACTTTTAGTTCACAGATACATGTATTTTTCATCGGGCCTTGTGAGATAATCTTTGATTTGGTGGTTTCTAAGTCTTAAATGAAAAAAATAATTAAAAACTTTAAAATACACTCCCAAATCACCTGCTATGGTTACAACACATCCTTCCAAATCTCCTAACTCTACACTTCACTGCACTGAAATATGTACACTGGCACATACTAGGCAGCTCATGACTCTAAATACTCTTAGGCACTGTTAAACAACATGTGAGGCAGCAATGCAGTTAGCAAAACTATTATTTAAAACAAAACAAAACAAAAAAACACCCACATAGCCAGGTCAGCTCCTGGCCTAAAAACAAAACAAAACAAAACAAAAAAACACCCACGTAGCCAGCTCAGCTCCTGGCCTGTGGTTGGTGCCTACAGGGGGATGCAGTCAGGAGTCTGCATCTGTTTAGTCAGAGTTTTGCCAGTATTTTCAGTTAAAAATGTCTGTAGTGAGATTAATACATCCCAGTTCTAGAAAATAATCAGAATGTGTTTACACTTTTTTACAAAGCTCCAGCCTGTGCAACAGTATCAAGGGGTCAGTACCCTGCTGACAAATGCAACAGAGCCATGAATGCTAAAGCTGCACATAACACATTTTTAAAAACTTATTTACTGTAGCATGAAATAAAAAACATATGCTGAAAACTACATACAAAACTCACTGAAAGAGAGCTGTCTCGCCTGCCAAGTCAAGACAGGAATCACAGACTAATATTGATTGGAAGAGACCTTTGGAGATCATCTGATGCAACACTGCCCAAAGCATGGCTAATTTCAAAGCTGGATCAGGTTGCTCATGGCTTTGTTGAGTTTTGTGTGTCTTCAAGGGTAGGAGATTCCACAGCCTCTCTAGGAAACTTGTTATAATGTTCAGCACCTTTGCTGTGAAGGTTTTAGTCCTTACATCTAATTGGAATTTCCCTTGTTGCAGCCTGTGCTCACCCTTTGCTGTATACCTCTGAGACAAATCTGGGTCTCTTGCCACTGCAACTGCTTGTTAGGTATTTGAAGACAACAATGCCAAATCGACAACTTCCTGCAAAGTATTTATTTGGAACTTTTGTATGAGCTTACTGTAACACTCCTTAATTCCATTTTCATCTAGTTCTCTGAGTGAATTCATAGAATGGAAACTCATGGAAAAAGTAAAGATTGCAAAGGGAACTGCACACTGTCATTGCAAAGCTTAAAATCTTTAAACAGCAAACTAAATAACTTCATATACAGAAGTCTGCAGACATACATAATATAATCTAACCACTACCCATGAAAAGCATTGTGCAGATCAGAAATCATATACAGAAGTCTGCAGACATACATAATATTATCTAACCACTACCCATGAAAAGCATTGATCAGAAATCACATTCTGAGGTTTTGGAAATGTCTTGTTACAATGAATAGCCCAAGGAATACATGAAAAAATATTAAAACACTATATAGCTAGAGAGTTATCAGTTGCCTACAAACCCTACAGAACTATTTGAAAAAACAACATGCTAAATGCTTTACCCTAGATAGCTTTTCTCTTGAAATCATAAAGCAGCAGAAGTCCATATAATTTATTACTTACAGGACCAGTTTGTCAATGGTTCTGAGCTCTGGTAAATCCAGAGTTGCTAACTCCCCAATATACTCCAAAAGGAAGCCAAACAATTTCTGCAAGAAGCACAATATGTTAAAATTATT